ATCCGGCGTAGACCGACATGGGTGAAGCAGTGGCTACGTTGGTGTGGCATCTTAGTCTGTACCTATATCCCTTGTGTTGCAACAGGGAGAATATAGGTCTTCTAAGGGGTCATTAAACACCAACCAACCTTAGAACCCTAAATTGACCAACTTGGCTATTAGGACAGTAGCAGTATGCTACACTCATTGAGGCTAAACTCTCGAGATGGTTCTGGCCGCGAGAAAAGATTGCGATGCTGGAGTTATGACCGATTGAGGGTAGCCAATGATTTGAGATCCTCTAGAACCCGGTTACTTCTGATAGGACAGGTTTTAACCAACAAAACCGAAAGAGGGTAATACCTGAAATTCATGCTGGCCTGAAACCTAAGGGTGTCTTGTGTGACTTGTGTGCCTTATCAAGTTTGCCTGTGTGAATACTTGTGGTGTGCTTCATCATAGCATCATGCCATCATACCATTGCATGCATCCTGTATAAAGGACTAACCCATTTCAAAGACAAAAGAGTTTCATCTTTGCTCTGTTTTGTAGGACATCATGATGCCCGTACGTAGGAATACTGTCCGGCTCAACTTTGTTCAACCACCAGCTTTACTCAAGGATTTGGTTGGAAGGATTCCAAACACTTCTTCTTTCATCAACAGACATGGTTCTCTCCTTGGCTTGGTCACTACAAAATGGGACCAACAACTGATAAGTGTTCTGACCCAGTTTTATGACCCTTTGTATCATTGTTTCACCTTTCAAGACTTCCAGCTGGTTCCTACCCTGGAAGAATTCTCTTATTTGCTTGGGATCCCTGTCTTGGAACAAACTCCATTCACTGGTTTGGAAAAGACTCCTAGGCCTGAAGAGATTGCTGCAATTCTCCCCTTGACTAAAGAAGAGGTGTTAGCTAACTGGGAAACTAGAAATGGGGTAAAGGGCTTTTTGGTCAAATTTCTGGTTGGCAAAGTTAATGATTTCTGGAATGACTTGGACTTCAAGGCGTACGAGGATATTCTGGCTCTTCTGATCTATGGTCTGGTATTGTTTCCCAACCCTGACACTTTCATCAGTACCCATGTCATAAGGATCTTCATGTCTCGGAATCCGGTACCCACTCTTTTGGGTGATATTCTACAACAACTCTATGCTCGTACTGCTCGAAAACGGGGAACTCCGTGGTGTTGTGCTCCTTTGCTGGTAAGGTGGTTTATTTCGCACCTTTCTAAGGTCGTGCTGAAGAATGAAGAAGGAAAAGGTTGGGCTCGGAGGTTAATGTCTCTCACTGATAATGACATCACCTGGACTCTCAGAGGTTTGGATGAGGTAGCTGTTATTGACCGTTGCGGAGAATACCCTAATGTTCCGTTGATTGGTATCCAAGGAGGAATCTCTTACAATCCATGCTTAGCTCTCCGTCAGTTTGGAAGAGCCAGAGGAGATGGGCCTCATGAAATGCTGGTTCCTCACTTACATTTTGAGTTTCAGGCAGACAGTGACAAACTACGCCAGGGATTCATTAGAGCTTGGGACAG